TTTTGTTTGTTCAGAAATGTTTGAATGGTAAATTGTAAACTATGCCCCACAAATCTGGCTAAACAGCACGCACGGGTAACTTCATGCAACTTTTAGAAGTTTACCTTATATGCTTATAAACAAGCCAAGGTTTTACTCGTAGTTACAATTGACGTGTCAATTTATGCGTAGATCAGAGTAAATGGCAACATCATTTAGCGAAGACATATTCCGTAAAGAGCAGATAATGTTCACTCATGTCCACCGACTCGCGACGCGCTATAGGAAAGACTAATAGCAAAAACTATCACTAGGTAGCTAATTTTCCACACCACAGAGAAATTGGCAATGAAAACTACAAAATCACCGTAAAACACATCAGTCAATACTATAAAAGCGTTTATATTTATATTTACCTTTGTAACTTTCGTTAAGATTAATCTCGGATATGGGAGGTAAAATATTAATTCGACATTTTGGACACAATGGTATTCTCTGGGAAAATATGTCTTCTCTAATATCATCAGCTTTCACTTGATATTTACATCTTGTACATGAAGCAGTAGCAAAGGAACCTTAAATTTCATATAAGATTTATTTTCATTTTAAGGTAAAAAACAAATTTTTCCATATATTTACATATGTGTGACATATATCACTCACCGTGACATTCAATCACATTTTCAATACCTGCTACTTGTTCTAACGTGTCAATATTTTGTGAATAATTTCTTAAAAGTTTCTTCTGCTTATCAAGCATTTTTATAAACCTATGACAAGGACTTGGCTTAAATTGTCCAGGATAAATTTCTCGTGCAAACTTGTAAAATGGCCTTGGATCTTGACCAAAATAATTAATGTCAAACATTGCCTAGTAAGAAAAGTTTATACAAAAAAATTTATTATTTGTATAGAAAAAATAATTTATAAATAAATCAACTGGAATAAATACCATCTCTACTTCTGAAGTCTGGAATTCCACAACTAACACTTACACCTGCTCCAGTTAAAACTATGATTCTACTGCTATTACGTATCAACTTGACAACATCTGATAAAGTATTTATATGTCTTAATTTTTGTCTGCGTGGCGGTTCTGACATCATATTTATTATAATCTAAAATACATTAAAATAATATTTAATAACAAATACCCCAAAAATACAATATCTCATATACTATCAAATAAATAAAATTTATCATTTGCATACCTTCCACAGTGTTAAATCATCAACCTGTTCTGGAATCTGTGAAGGATCCATAAGAAGATGATGTAAAAGATCTCGAGGATCAGTGCCTATTAACATTTGTTTCTGAACCCATGAAGACGCATTTCTCCATTGATGATTGATATCACCTTCACCAGAAAAGTCAGAAAGTCCTGATAAATCAGATAAATTTGAAACTGTTGAAGATATCTCATCTTTTTCATCTGCAGTATCGATTCTAGAATATTATAAATAAGAAATAACATATTTATTTTAATAAGTTACACAATTTCAATAATTAAGTGTTATCAATCACAATAAAATATATAAATTAGAAATAACATATAAATTGAAACTTACGGGCAACCAGTATCATCACTAGTTGAATCAATTTGTGATGGAGTTGTCATTAAGTTTGTAACATCTGGTGAAATAGAAATTGATTTGGATTCGTCGCTTAATTCATTAAAACCACTATCTCCACCAAATGTCTCTGCAATAGCATTAGTGATTCTATATTTTTTTAATATACAAGCAGTAAAATATTAAATATTGATTTAAAATTAAAATTCGTACTTATTTTTTTCTTTTTCCATTTCTTTTGATTTTTCTTTATTTCTATATTAATTTTATAAATCTTTTATATATTTTTTACGCTTACTAAACAAAATAACGAGAAAAATAATATTCGTATATATAAAAATATATTTATTATAAATTTCATCACAATAAATCATATTGAAAATATTTAGAATTGATGGAATGCCATTCAATTAAATATAAAAGTAAATATCATTCGTACATAATAAAAATCATGCCATCTGTAAACGTTTGTTGAATGTACTGTACACCTTTGCATCTTGCTGATACTACTTTTTTTATTTTCATTTAAACTGTTAGGTTTATAATGTGTTGAAGGATCAGTTTGAAAGAAATTAAATGACAAATAATTTCATTGGATTAAAATAAAGATTTTGTTATAGTTATATACCTGATTAAAAATGAACTACGAATCTAAATACGCGACATACACAAAAACTGTCATGGCGACTCCTGTCTTCAATTAACTACAAACGAACGATAACCACGCAAGAAAAGCAGTTGCTTTTTTAACCGCCATCTTGCATCCTCGTAAATTTCATTAAAGGATGACCATATTTTTATCAAAATACCTTCCATATCTTCATTAGGAGCATCATGCGACGACTCACAAGCTTGAAAATCTGGTTTCACACTATTGATATTTTTGTAACTAATGTCGTCAACTTTTCGTCGTTTTGCTGGAGAGGAATATTCTGGCACCTCTAAGCCCGACGCCATTTTCAGTAGCAATGCAATGCATAGTTAGATGTACGACCGTTACTACATAGAGGCCGCTTGTGTATTTTTCCCCTCTTATTTTTTGGGTTTATGAAATGATATTGGTGATATAAAAGTGTCGGAAAGAAGGAAGAAGGATCGATATTTGCTTTATTTTATTTCGATCAGAATTGTTTATTTCAATTTTTTGTTGACAAATATTTAATTGTAATTTAAAACATCATATATACATTTATGTTAATGAAATAATATATTATACTAACAAAATAAATTATTATTCCATAAAGTAACATATTTAAATCTATTTATCATATATGTAAGTATATCCTCGTTTTTATATCGTTATCTAAATACTCATTTATATTGTTATAATAATATTATTGTAATAATTATAATAATATTAATATTCATTAACATGTACTTTACTTTAGTGGATAATTGTTTTGAATTGATATTTTACTTTTGATATTTTAGTTCAAGTAATATTGTAATATTTAATTCAAGTAATATTTTAGTTCAACTGATATTTTTGTTCAAGTAATATTCATTTCAATATTGACTAAGATACAAATATTATTTAGGTATTTCAATATTTTCAAATTATTTTATCCTTTTTCCGTTTGATGTTTATACATAATAAAATTATTTTTATAATGATGTGTACGATGGAGTTATTTACTATATAATCATTAAAAAATAATTTGTAATAATCAAAATTGATATACTACTTATAATTATTCAAAATTTATAAATTTTAATATTTATATAACAATAACAATAAAAGTTCGTAATGTATTGTTAAGAAACATTAGGAAAGAAAAGCATATATATAATAAAAAAAAAGTAAGAAATGATCATTTTTCTTACTATTTATATATTTATCTTATATCAAAATTATATTTTATGTATGTACTTTGATATTTCGTATATTTCATACATTTATAATTTTTACATGAATATAAATTGTAATTTATATAATATTGTACAATATCTATAATTATTTTATTTTTTACTATAATTGTATGGATCAACGTGATGAAATCTTCTTAGCGATGATAATCGACAAGTTCAGAGTACGCGGGTTACATTATTTTAGAAAGAAACGTGTAACGTGATTCTCTATTATTCGTGTGTGTGCGAATATTATAACGTGTGCTATAATAGAATAATCAAAAATTTAACCAGTCCAACGCCAAAAATGATAGATTTACGAGATGAAAATGCAAAAAATACGATAAATAGTGGAAAATATGTTAATTTAAACATACCAGGTAAATTTAAAATTAACATTTTATTTAATAGTAATTTTATTCTTGTAAATTTACGAGTAACTTTATTATGTTATACATAATAATTTATATATTATAGTATTGTCATACAATAGCATAGTTTATATTTAAGTTATACAAAATTTGTCGCGACAAATATATTAATAGGTATAACGTGATAATTATGATTGGATAACCTCAATATACATTAATAGTGTGAGATAACACTGTCGCTTTTATCGATGTTTCATTATATTTTTAAGATAATAGAAAAAGATTTTGTATTTATTCATAGCTGTATAATTTATATAATTCTGTATGATATGTCTTATAATAAAAGTCTGTAATTTCAATATTACTTAATTCAGTAACAAATTTTATTCACTTTGATAATAACATTGTTGTACAAATTTTTAGCTTTGTCTTTCTCTATTAATAATCTTATAGAAATAATATAATTTGCTTTATAAGTTATGTATAACATGATATATGTTATATATATTAAATAACATTATGACTATTTATTTATTATCTAAAAAAAATTATATAAAATTACAACAAATAATGAATAAAATGTGCATATATATATATATATATATTGCATCTTGCATGTACATCTATATATGTTAAATACATAATTAAATGTTTAAGAGTCATTGCATTTTATTTTATATTTACCAGTTACATCACAACAAGGGTTAACACAACTTAGTCCTTATTTAAACTTCGATCCTGCATATCTTCCTCCAAGTCAACCAGAATATATATTTCCTGAAGGAGCTGCAAAACAAAGAGGAAGATTTGAATTAGCTTTTACTCAGATTGGTGCAGCATGTATCATAGGAGCTGGTATTGGAGGTACAACTGGTTTTTATAGAGGCATTAAAGCAACATCTTTAGCTAATCAAACTGGCAAACTTAGAAGAACACAGTATGTACTTGAAAATCCTTTTACTATTAATAAATTAAATAATTTTACATTATGAAGTGATAAATTATAAAATTATATATAATTCTCTTTTGATAGATTAATCAATCATGTCATGAAAAATGGTTCTTCATTAGCGAATACTTTTGGGATAGTATCTGTAATGTATAGTGGATTTGGTGTAATTTTGTCTTGGGCTAGAGGTACAGACGATTCTTTAAATACTTTAGCAGCTGCAACTGGGACAGGCATGTTGTTCAAATCTACAAGTATGTTTTATATAAATAATGTGTATATATCTAAATTATCTGTTGGAATTATGCAAGTAAATGATTGATTGTTTTAGCTGGCTTAAAAAAATGTGCATTAGGTGGTTGTATAGGACTAGGAATAGCATCTATGTATTGCTTGTGGAGTAACTGGGACGCCTTATTAAAATTGAGGCATCGCAACATAAATCCAGCGTAAGACTGTGTGTGTAGCAGTAAAACCACTAACTATTCTGAATATTCCTGAGTATTTTTGTTATAGCGGTTTAATTTTAACAAAGGAATGATATACATTTGCATTCTGTAATTAATACAAATTATATAAGATCATTTATTTTCATAAAGATTATTGAAGATGATTAATTCTACCATACCTTTTCTTGATTAAAATATTCAATTACATTTAATGATTGACTACTACTTGAAGATGCAAATTTATGTGTTCTTTTTTAATACTCTTTGTTAAGATACTAGAGATCTAAAATTCAGATTGAAATTTCAAAGATATAGGAAAAGATTAGTATTTTATTAAAATAAAAATATCTTATATATATCATTTTTATTTTTTATGATATGTTTAATAGTATGTTTATTTCGTATATTTTATTTGTGTGTGTGATTGATCCTATAATTTTGATTTTTCAACTATGTATTATTTTTCAGTGAAACTGTTACTCAATATTATATAAATATCCAGGTATTAGAATAAGAATATATAAAGATGAAAATAAATTATGTTTATTTTCATATATATTTATAGAAAATTATTTCAATAGGTATTCCTAATGGCCAAGTCTTAAATAAAAAGTTAACATAATTGCATTTATAGTTGAAATTGTACTACATTTGAACTTTGTTATTTTTTCTAGAAACATATAACTTACTTTAATTTATTACAAGCTACAAAAATTTGAAAAAACAGTAAAAAACCTGAATAAAAAGTAAAAGCAATAGAATTATCTGACCAAATAAAACAAATTTAAATCATATATTTTCTGTACAATTATTTTGTTATAGCTATCCCAATCACGTGCATTGTATATATTGTATAATATAATATACTGTTGTTAGACATTTACTATTGTTATCCATCTTTCTTTACTTTTTTTTTTTTACAGATCAAAGTGAAATGCAAGGAACAAAATGCGGTACAACTAGAAATTTCCACAACCAAATCAATTTGTTTTGTATATAAAAAAAATCATTTTGGACAATTCTATAAAATATAAACAGTTGAACAAAATAAGCAAAATCAATTTGCAATATAAATAAAGGAAATTGTGCACCATTATGTATATATGAGTGTATATGTACACTTACATGCGTTTTGTGTGAATTATATTAGTAATAATTTCAGCATAGTTTCTAGTTTTAAATTTATATACTGATTGGTATATCAACAATACTAACAATGTGTACAGTTTGTGACACCTGGATTACTAATGTATAACACAGGTAAGGCACGATAATCTTATCAAAGTTTATCTCTCCGTTTTCAAGTATTTTCGTGTTTCATACCGATTATGCCAGTTTTAATTTGATGTATACATACTAAAAGAAAAAGGAAAAAAAAAGACAGCGGAGAATTTAAGTGAAGAAAAAAGAAATTGGAAAAGAGAGGGCCGAATATTTGTACCGTTAGTTAAAGTAGTCCAAATTTTATCTTGATGTGAATAAAAATGGTGTATTATTTATATATCGTGTTATTGATAATGTGTACATGATATACGTACATACGTACGTATATAAGATAGATACACGACTTTTGTGTTATGGAAAAAACTGATAAAAACTCGAAAGAGGAAAAGTGAAAATAAAAACGTAATTCATTTTTCGTTGATGTTATTACATAATGTAATATTGGTGAAATCCATTTTAAACGACGTAAACATTTATTATAAAAGGTAAATATTTGGTTTTTACTGAAGATGATCTTTAACGTTTATAGAGATACCTCATCGATGAGTATTAATAAGAATTCATGGCTTATTTGAACAAGGAACACGTGATATTCAGGGACATCCAAATTTTCCTGTGTATTGTAATTATTTGAGTTGACAAAAGATATTTTAGCAGAGTAATATATCTGAGAATTCAATCTTTCTTTGAAGGTACAAAGAAGCTTTTCTTAATAAAATACGACATTTTAAGACTCATATATCAAGTTATCAGATTGGGATAAGAAATTATAATAATAAACGTTTTTCTCGATCGCATCACAATAGAAGATAAATAGACATGGCTGTGACTTTAATAATTACGATCAAATATGTTGATAAAACATATGTTATGATAATTGCAATAAGTAGTTTTAATTACGATTTTGATTTAAAAAAAAGAAAATATATATATTTTTATGCATAGCATAGCATAGCTCTATATATATATTAATTATACCGTTTATCTGTTTATCAACAAATATTAATAAACTCTGATGAGAATACTAAATTTAATTTTCATAAATTAGTTACGAATAAAAAGAATGTAAATCTCCTATTATTATAAAAATAGTAGATCGAGGAAATGATAATAATTATGAAAATATTTAAGTAAACATTCAAACTTATCTTTTTTTAACTTTTCTGCATCATTATTTCTATTTGGATTATTTCACTCTAGCTTTTTAGTCACTTTTTGTGAACAATTTATTCATATGACTGTTCTTTAACTTTGAGTTTAATTTCTTATATTATAAACCTAACGAAAAGAGAAAAAATATGCTCTATAAGAGAATGTTTTGTAACTTTGAATTAACATTTTGATACTTCAAATGTTGCTCATCTAATTAAAATTATAATTATTGAGAATTAATGAATATATGCGTCATAACTAGAAAGATTAATATAGATTTATGATAATAAAATGGAATTTTAGCAACATGTAATTGGTGTTTAAGTCAGAATTACAATGAAATTAAGGGAAGGACAAATATGAAGTTATTTTGTAAGATATTTGTATTCATTCTTAGGAGTAATGTATATCTTATAAACGAAGTAACATGAACGGAGAGCGAGTGGAACAAATTCTCAGCGTATTATATATTTCCTGTGCAATTTTGTCTGTGATGTCGTTGACCTGTTTGGTTACTGCTTGGCAATACTGGGCTTGGACCTTGGATGTTTGCATTAGTGTCGATTGCGATTGTATATTATACAGTGTCAATACCTTCAGCACTTTTATGGGAGGTGATATAAAATTTTGCTATTTTGGTGTATACGGTTTGAGCCCTGCAATTCTATTCGGCTTGTGCCTTGGTGGATACCACGGATATAGAGTTTGTATTAATAAGAATTTAGATACGCCTGTACGAATCTACGATGATATTAGCAGGTATGAGGAAAAGGACCTTAATGTGTTTTTTAAAAAAACTTGTTTGTTATATACCTTTGTCCTTACATAGAAACTATGCATATAAGATTTATTGTGTTTAGGCAAATACATCATTTAGATTTATTATCTTCGTATCATATTTTTTTTTCGCAGAAATTTAAACAGTAATGGCGAAGTAGTGGCAGCAGTGATGATCAGACCTAAAAGACGAATACCATATAATCAATGGATACCGATTATGTTTCTTACAATATTACTTTGCTGTTTATCATTAGCTCATGCAGTGGTAATAACTGACGGTTACTACAAAACTTGCAATCAATATAGGAAAAGATTGATACAACTTTTAGACTCGACTGGTCGTGAAGCTGAGGTAGAAAAAATTAGCTCAAAAAAATTAAAAAAATATCTGTATATTTTCAATCCGCTCGTATCATATATACGATAATTATATTTTTCTTTTCATTCTACAGGTTGTACATAATAGGCTTTCTTGTGGAGCAATTTTCGATTTCATGGATTATTTACAGACGGATGTAAATAATTGGAAGCATGGTAAAGAGGCTCATACTGGCTTTACTCTTCAATTCGCTATTATTTCTACATGGTTCAATTTCTTTGCTTGGACATTCGCGACCTTATTGAACATTATTATGGTGCGTAACAAATTTTGTTGCTCATAAATTATTGATTCAAAGTGATCAATTGGATGACACATTTTTAAAATTGTTGTATACAGGCACACATATTTTTGCATTGGCCAAATATTGAACAATGTGTAATATTACTTTTAGATACCGTTATTTATTGTTCTCCGTAATTTTAAAGATTTATAAGGCTATTGATCATATTGTTTTTTAATCTTTCTTTCTCGCGCGCGCGCACGCGTGCGCGTATCATCTTTACACCGTTATGCTTTTTCGAAATTTTGTTAATGTTTAGATGAACGCTTATGATTTATATTTATTTCATTTATATATTACCTACTTTTGTAAAGTGCTACGTATTCTATAATTTCAAAATTTACAATCGTCTACTTTCCTTTTCATAGTGTGATACATAAATAATATATTTTAATTGTTTATTATATGAACATTGAAACAATCTTGATAGACAATATATACACATTATTGTCATAAGTAAATTATGAAGGATTTTGAATTAAGAGACAAATAAATCGTATATATCCTTTCTCGATGCATTTTATTAGTTTTGATTATTTGTTATTTATTTATTTATTATTTATGAATCTTCTTTTCTTCTGTTTCCTTTCTCTTTTATTTTTTGATCACTATTATATGAAAAACAGACATCTGAGTATGTATTCAAAGAGGATAGATAAATACAACTCTATTTTTACAGAGCACCGACAAGTAACATAATATTACAATGTTTAATGTCAGAATTAGAAACATTTAAAAATAAACTTTACACAAATTTCTTCTATGCACTTCTTAAATTGCGATTATTATATATTTATGAATATTTATAATAATTTACATATGTACATTATCATATTATTTCCAGTATTCGGAAGCATGCTCGAATTATACAGGGTAATTCGTTTTCTAGTAAACTCAAAAGTAGTACCACTTATTCAGAAAACCTTAATCCTTTTTCAAATAAGTGTTTCGGTAGTCTTAAGACGATTTTCCATTTAACTCACTAGTGCCACTACGGCTCATATTTGCAGTAAATGTTTATCATAAATATCGTATACGTCGTTGAATTATTTTTTTAATTTTACTGATATAACTTTGAAATTTTCTTCTTGTATTGTCTTCACAATACTGTTTTCACAGATTTCTCGGCCGTACTTATACGACCGTATTCATGAATGGGTTAACACTCATCTAACTTCACATCTTATACATAGTATAATGTTCGTATAGGGAGTAAGGATATAGGACCTCTGCTGTCTTTAAATTCACTAGGAAATGAATCGCACTTATGCTTGAAATGATAATATATGAATGCGCATGTAAAATACACGGTACTGTCTCGTTGTAATTCGTTATATATTATAAATCGTTCTCTATTTTACATATGATGAGTGCGATAAACTGCGAATGTGCGAGAGGGCACATGTCAAAAATCTTTGTCGAGACTGTACTAACTTCAATTATAGCACACTGTATCATATTTTGGAAAAGATGACATAATCAGTGATTTCTCTCATTCTGAGGTTGCTCATGTTTTTATGCGAGATTGCTGTCTGTTTCATTCGTCGCCTGTTACTACTCTCCCCTGTATATGCAATAAATATGTAGACAATGGAGGGATAACGAGACTCTACACCGTGAATTGCGTGATTCTGCACCTTTGGATCGGTAAAGATCTGTTAAAAATAGTAGTCGCAAAATTGTCCTCGAATATAATTTTGAAGGTCAAATTTTCTTTAAATATATTGTATATCACTCATCATAAAAAGAAAATGTCTGAAAAGAACTGTAGGTCGTAAATGAACGTAAATTAATTCAAATATAGTTATGTTTGGTATTATTTTGATCTTAAGAATGTCAGCAATCTGACTATGTAGATACCTCGTAAATGATAAGAAATTAAATCATTTTCGATTTGATAATTCAGTACTGGTTGAGTTACGGTCTATAATAGATATTATGATGGACTCTATATGAACTACAGATAATACCGAACAGGTAGTTCTCGGGAATTCGTAGCCATATAAATATACGTATATATAGCAGGCGGGCGATACTGTATTATTCGAAACTCTCTTTGAGTTAGTTTGAAACAGTCAGAAATATATTGTAATGCTATGCATCGAGTCCCGATTTTTATGAATTAAGAAAATAAAATGAATAGATAAGAGACGCGACTCTAAGATTTGTAATCATTGGAAATAATTTCATAGATTTAATAACCCTTGGGATTAAACGTTACAATTGACAGTTGTACAATAGCGATATGCTGATACGAGTATGCAAACGTTGCAACTTATATCATGAAACCTAGGAGTCGGTACGCGTTTCGTAATAAATGCAATGTGTAAGTTTAAGTATGTTAAGTTAACATAGATGCATCCGAGTTCGTATAAACAAATTTGTGTAAAAATGTAACGCAGTTTAGATTACGAAAGCACACTCATGGTCTATATGCATACACGCGTATAAGTCTAGACAGGAAAGTCTGAGGCAACTTACATAACTTATAACTTGTTAGTATTAACTATGTAGTATAAGTGTATAACTGGAACTAGTGTATAAACTATATAGTTTATATTACGCAATCTCCTATAATGTAAAACATATCTTCCATGTCGTGCATAATTTGGGATTCACTGTGTATAATTACTAGACTTAGAAACTCACATCGCAAATTCAATTTAATTTTAATAAATCGTACTCGCATATGGGTATACAATAATGGGAAACTGCATTAATAAAAACGATAATTTGAAGAATATTTTGTATCCTATTTTAAAAGAAGATATCGAACGTCCATTTTTTTCATGTGACAGCATTATCTGTAATGCATAATATATATATATATATACACACAGTGTATATAATTTTGATATGATTGTCACGATATAGCGAAACCAAGGAACTAGTCGAGTCATTGTCCCAAAATTTCGGACAAGAAAAAAATATTTAATCCAATATCAATATACTTTGCACGATATATTGAAAAAAAAAAAATTCATACTTAAATCTATACTTACATACTTAACTATACTCAAATATACTCCCATACTTAAAATTTTCAATTTAGCGAAGTTGTATACAGTAGTGAATAGTAATTAATAATAATTAATATTCATAACTTTTTTACTTGTAAATGAAACATCGTCACTTATAAAACACAATTATATTTTTATTGCATCATATTGTACAATAAAGTGATACGTATGGCCTCATGTGCCTACTGATAGCCTATTCGACACTACTTTCTAATGCTTTAGTTTACCATGATTCTGCTATATTATGATCCGTACAATATTATATACTTCACTTTCTCAACATTGCTTTTTGGGATAAGTTCTACAACATCATAACATACAAAAGCCATTATTTTACGGTACGTTCATTTAAAACACTTATCATCTGGCCACTTACATATATATATATCTTGTTTCCTCTTTTAATATAGATTTATTATTATCTCTTTTAGTATAGATATATAATTTAGTATAGACATATTATTAATAGTATAGATTTTTCAAATTTTAACGTACAAATGTAGCAAAAACGCTTAACTACAAAAATAAATACATGAGTTTTTATTATCCGTCCATTCTTTTCTTTTTTTTCCCCTTTGCTTTCACATACATATATACATATATATTTACTTTTATTTACTTTTTCTCCTTTTCTTTTTTCTTTTATTTTTTGTTATTTTCTTTCATTTCTTCTTTTTCTGCACTTCCCTGTTCAATAGAATTTCAAGATTTGAATTGAGAATCATTGAAAGTTATTACTTTGACCAAAGTCTCATAGAGATATCCATCATATTCAATGTTGACGATGCCATGTATACGTTATTAATTTTGATCGAATCATTTATTTAGCACATTCTTACCAAACTGTTTTTAAATAAAACAAGCGAAAAATAATCAACAATTAATTTGTATAACATATCAATGACATCTATAAATATTAGAACGTTTCTTTTTAAAAGAAGAAGGGAAAAGAGTGAAGAAAAGGAGCAGAAAAGGGAGGAGAAGCGAGAAGAGGCATGAGGCATGAGAGGGGAAAGGAGGGAAGAGAAGAGAAGCGAAAGAGAGTATTAATTTACGAATTGAATTAAATATTGTTAATTACGAAATATGCTTACTGTCAATATGTCGAAATAGAAACAAAAATTTGTATATACGGATAAGTTTAATTGTAGGGATAAATCAGATCGAATGTTAGAATTTTTATATCAATGATACCGTTGTTAGAAATTAATCGATGATTGGTCGATAATTTCAAGGTTACTATTAATTTCAAAACAAATTTCAATAAAATGCATTATCATGTAAAATTTACTTTTTATTATGTAAAATGATCGATGATCGATGTTGTCGAATGTTGTTTGTTGTAATTCGATGAGGTTTAGGTTCCAAGTAATTAAATATTGTTCCTTGCTTTGCAGTTTCTATAATGAATGAAAAAACATAATCGTTAAGACATTTTGTTCCTTTGGAACAACTTTCTTATCGTATAATTACGTTAATTTCTTTTCACATATAATTTTCATATATAATCTCAACTAAATTAACTAATTACTTTTTCTCTTCAATGACTCGAACCGTTTCTCGGGTTCCCTGATTACTTCAAATAGTGTAATTTCTACATTTCCGTATTTCCGTATTTCTAATTGGTTCATCTTCATTTTCATCACTTGAATCTTCAAAGCTTATATTATTGAAACTAGTAGCTATGCTACTAACAAAACATTTCTTAGGTCCTAGACTTTCCTTATTCTAACACACTGACTTACTGTTATGAGTCTGCGTTAAGGATAGTAAGACATCACTGTGATTTTCATTGATCAAATGATATTTCAACCTTTTCCAATTTAATACATTTTTCTCTTTTGTTTTGGCATATCGTGAATACTGGTAATCATCAATTTTAATTCGGAAGAGACAATATCGAATGGTGTAACGTATAGCTTTGACACATTGTTCACAGTATGGACAGTAAATCGTGTGGTATGTTGAACAGGTCTAATTCCATGTACGTTTCACAAAACAAAGTAGCAGTAGCAGTAGCAGTATCTGGTGACCGCACTTCATTCGATAGTTTGATGAAACTCTGCATAAGCGACATGCAAATCTTTAATCTACATAATGGTTCATTTAGTTGCAAAGGTGTAATTTCACTAAGCGAATCAGAACCAAAAAGATCTTTCAAAGCATCGGCAAACGTGCGTGAATATTTACTATTCGCAGAA